TTGAACTTGTAATATCATGCTCTTTATAAGCAAGTAATATTCTTCTAGAATATTAATAATGTTTTGCTACTTCAAGAGCAGAAATGAACTATCTATAATAGATAGATATACAATTAATATTTTTCTAAAATATTAATTATAATGTTGTGCTACTTTTAGAACAATAAGATGATAAATTCTTAATTTAAAATTCATAGAATAATATCTAAAAATATTTAATTACCATATAGACATGATATTTATTTACATATAAGAATTAATCACAAAAAATGCATAAGTAAAGGAAAAAAATCTTCCAAGCATGCTCGTGAAAGGAATATTTAATTACCATACAAACAAGATATGATATAAAAATTAATTACCAAATTGATAATATATGAATTTATATTTTAAAATTGATTACCAAACATGTATTAGGAAAAAGAATTTTCATACATAGAAGTTAACAAAATTGGCTAAATCACTTATTGGCTAAATCTTTTACCAACATGCAAAAGATACTAAACATATATGTGAATTTCACATATATAAAAATTAAAGATAGAACTAATATGTAACAGATTCAAAAGACAGAATTAATACTGAATAATATGTGGAAAAAATGATCGTGTATGAATAAAAAAAGTGAATTAATATGTGTTCAGCTTACACATACAAACGTAAATTAGAATTAATATGCATGTCGATGAAAAGTAGAGAAGAAGAAGCAATCTCATTATGATGCATATGTATATTGAAAAATTTCACATGCTACTAAATTAATTTTGGTACACGTGATAAATATTCATGTCTATAAAAATTATTACTTTCACTAAACTCAGCTGGTTAGAGCGTAGTGCTGATAATGTGTTATAAAAGTGAAAAAAAGAGAAGAGAATAGAGAAAAGTTAATAGACTTGTGTGTTTTACTAAGAACCAAAGCCCTGTATTTATATGGCAGAATTAGGGATACAATAATAATAATTTCTAGGCCTACAGGGTATAATTATCATTCACCTTTAAATCCTAATAAACTTACATTTTACAACAGTATAAGGAAAATTACACAACAAACATTATAATAATCAGTCAAAAGTTGGATTGACATTTTGAAAAAACAGGCAAGTCTATTACACGACAATCAATTTACTAAACTTTTTCTTAGTACTTGTTCAACTTTGTTTCCGTTCGACAAATTTACCAAGCGGAGATTTGCATTCAATTTTTTAACACTTGATTCCTTATTGCTTTCAAGTGAGCGTCTTTCTTATGGAGGTTAAAATCAGATTTTTAATAAATTTTGATAAAAGTTAAAGAAATGTGCGATTGAAAAGTTGTGGATCATGCGAAATATGCAATTAAAATTACTATTTGATTTTGACTTAAATTAAAATTTTAATTTTTACCAAACAGAAACTTAATAAGTGGACATATTTTTAAAAAGTATCTTGAATTCTACAAAGCCTACAATTCACAAAAATCATAACATAAAAAGGAAAAAAAACAACAATCTGTGTTCCCGGCCCCATTGAATTCAAGCAATTTTTTTTTTTTTTTTTTACCATTTTTAAGTCTCAATGTCCCGTAACTTAAAATGATAACCACGACACCAAAGGTAGTGCAGTCCTGCCATGGACTTTCGAGGAGAGGGCAAGGTCACGACATTTTGCCAATTATTATTACTTTGTTAATTTGTACTTGTACAAATGTTTCGAGCACTAATCAATCAAATAAGATTTTGCAAAACTAAATAAGGAAATAAAGATTTTATATTTTTCATGTGTTGTAACCTTTCCATTGATTTGACCTTAATTGCGCAAAAGCAAATACAGCCATGTTTGATATACAGAAGAAGTTTTCACATAATGCTGCTAGAATACACACGTAGTGGGATGGGTAGGATATTTTTTGGCAATTTTTTTTCATAGTGAGCCCCACATCATGAGACTATTCTGACGACATTCTGTAAGAAGTTATTCTGTACATATGAATTTATCCAAGCAAATAAATAAGATAGGAAGAGAATAATAGGTTTGTTAACTGCCCAATATTTCAGTGGATCTTTATATCTCTAGAGTCTGTTGCTTGACTCTCTCTGCAATTGAAGCCGAAGCAGAAGTCGAAGTCTAAAGATGATAGGTGACAATGTGATGAAAATTGAAATTAAATTGAAGTTTGATAAATTAATTGAATCAGGTTAAAGTTAAGTGGTTGAAATAAAAATTATCTAAAAGTTCAGTGATCACTAATGAAATTTTCATTGTGTGTAATGGTTACAATTATGAGTCGTGCTATTTGGACAGGCACTTGTCAAAACATGGTGCCCCCTATTGGCCGGTTGTCTGGAGTATAATTACTCTACAATTATTTTATTGAAATTGCTTCAATTTTTAATTTGTGACCCTCTTCAGTTTTTCGTCTATATTAAAAACACAAAAATAATTGTTTTTTACGTTTTAAAATTATTAAATTACATTTTGACCTTCAGGACTTTTTAGATTTTGAATTGAATATTAACCTATAAAGTAAAAATATTTGAGGTCATTGAACTATTAGTCAAAATTTAATATGGCTGTTAAACTTTATTTTGCTTCGTTTTATTAATTTCACCTCATATGTTTGTACCTCTCATCGGCATTATTATTATTATTATTATTATTATTATTGTTGTTGTTGTTGTTGTTGTTGTTGTTATATTATTATTCCTAATTAGATTGGGCATAAAACTTTCAATAGTCAAATTAAATGATATGAAGTATGGACACATTTCCGCAGATGAATAACATTATATTTTAAATAAATATATAAGTGCGATGATTCATTTGATCCTTACAAAGTTTAATTAAGTTTATCATTAACGTTAAATTTCAAAGTTATAAACCACCAATGTTTCTAACCTTATTTAAAATATGTAAAATATTAATGAACATTCAAAAACTATAATTTTTATACTTTTCAATTTAAAACAATAATTGCATATTCTAGCCATTTTTCGATATGCACAATTGTGTAGGAGGTGGATAAATTTACTTGCAATCACTTGACCCATACTAGTCGGATCAATTCGATTTCAATTTATAATCAATTCGATCCTCAATCATAGACTCGAGAACCAAATGTTTTGGTACGATTCTAGCTACAAAATATACTTTTGATTGGGTTCCAAAAATATTTTTTTATAATCTCGTATTAAAATCGTAATTTATATAAATTCATATTTATTCAGAATAATTGAGTATGTTATTCTCTAAAATGAAAATCATGAAAATGAAATAAGAAAACTTACACGATAATTTAGACTTAACATTTATTTTTGAAGCATAAAAAATAAAACCATAATCAATAGTTTAATGAAAAATTAGGACCTCACCTAGGTTCTTTTTTTTTTTTTTTTTTTTTGGAAGAACTATTTTTACAATTTTCAGTTAGAATCGATCTAACCAATTGTTAAGCTTTCATTTAGAGTCCCTCATTCTACATTTAAATCGGTGCCAACTTTTTGACTTCAAATAATCTTGATTTTCTGTCAATCTTTTTATCTATTAGGGAAGAAAACAAAGCAATAGTTTCATATTTACCAACATAATGGCTCTTAAATAAGTTATTTGACTCGTTTTAAAGATTGCTTATACTCAAGTCACATTTTATCCACAAATTTCAAACAATTCTTAATTAGTACACACCTATCCATCACTTATTTCTTTTTTCGTATACATTAAACCTTGTGTAATCAGTAAGCTTTGCTAAATAATAATGCTATTTGTAGTAGGTGACTACTGTAGTCACCATACGGGACTTGTATGTGATAGCTTGTTATTTGAAACATTAATTTCGATAATTCCGTTATCTCAAATAACAAGCTAAACTCCCAAACAATAAATAGTCACATAAGATGAATGTGGTTGATAATGAGTATCATTACTCTTTACTAAATAATTAAACTAGTTCTAGAGACACTTTGAGGGGCTTGCAATTGGCTTTCAGAAATCAATAAAGCTACTTGTACAAAGTTGGGTTACAAAAGTTGGATTACAAAGTGTGTTAGCAAAATCAAGATCATTGATTTGAAATGATTTAAAAATTTGTTTTTGAAATGATTGATGTGAATGTTATTTTGTCAACCAACTTTGTAACACACCTTTGTAAGTGTAGCATAATTCTTCAGAAATTCGCTGGTCAAATAAGAATGAGACATGTAAATGACACTTGATAGCTCTAGGATTCGTAATAATATCAATATTAATATGTACATGTATAGAACTAGAATTTGTTATATAACAATTTGGCATTTTTATTTTTTTAGGGAACCAAATATTACATGGATGAGTCATTCTTGTTCCAAATTTATCCAATTGAGTCCATGTAATTCTCGATTATCGTTTTATGCTTCGAATCAATTATTAAAAAGTTGCAATTAGGTTTTTTTAAAGCCTTTTTTAAACCAATTATTACATGAATCGGTCATTTTTGTTCCAATTGCATCCAATTGAGTCCATTTAATTCTCGATCATTGTTTTATGTTCTGAATCAACTATTAGAAAGTTGCCATTGATCTCCAAACTTTTTAAAGCCATTTTCAACCAAATATTACAATTAAATATATTATTGAATTAAAAAACAGCTCACAATTAAATAAAGAATATTTACATTTTCAAAAAAAATAAAAAATCATACATTATACTCTTGTCACAGTGTTCTTATTAGAAAGTTACAATTGAGCCACAATTTTTGCGAGTACTAGATTCGTGAAGAATGTGATTAAAAAATAAGAAAAAATTTTGAATTTGTGTGTAATATTATTTTATTGAATAACATGTAATAGAAATTAATAGAGAGAAAAATATATTTTAAAAATAATGAGAATCAAATAAGAGTTTAATTAAAATCTTAAATTTTTATTATTTTTAAAATATATTTTATTATATAAAGTGCGGGAAAGGAAACAAGAAGGAGAACCATGTAAGAATTTCACATTGTTACGTTTGATCAAAAATTGTATTTCAAATAAAACTCCTCAAAAGTCTCTTCAATTCTACAAAAGTGAAAAGGCACCAGCCTGGAAAAGCACGAGAGTGGGCGGATGATAATGATGAAGACGGGAATATTAGGATGGAAAAGGTGGCGGAGGTCAAGAAAGCATTCCCAAGTCACGAGGAGACTTATTTTATGCGGAATGATGATGCTAGACTGCGGCGTTTGACCGATAATAGGATTGATAATCTTGAGGAGGTAAGGGAAGACCATAGGCGCATTAGGCAGGCAGAGATTGTTTCAACGATTGGGGACAAAAGGAGGAGGGAAGAAGGATTAGATTCGGAGGATGAGGATGCATTCGAGGAAAGGAGAAGGAGTATTAGGGAGAGGTTGTTCCAAAGGCAACAAGAGGAGGCAGCACTAATGCCAGAAGAAGAAGAGGAGGAGGAGTCTGAGTACGAGACTGATTCTGAAGAAGAAACAGCAAGAATTGCAATGGTGAAACTGGTTTTTGTTCCTAAATCAGGGAGAGATACAATTGCGGAACGTGAGAGGCTTAAGGTAGAAGAGATGGCACTCGAGGAAGCTGTGAAAAGGAGGATGGAAGAGAATAGGGTGGAGACTAGGCAAATTGTGGTTGAAAAATTTTGGGAGGACCAGGACACTCAAAGGAATATGGAGTCGGAAGCAAATATTACAGATATGGATTTAGATGATGATGTGAATGAGGCTGAGGAATATGAGGATTGGAAGGATAGTGTTAAAAATGATGGGCTGCCTCACTATTTTCTATTTTGGGCCCTTACTAATTGAAAATAAGAAGAGGCCCAAAATTGCTTAACGTATTCTCGCGTTTTGGTTTCACATTTTATATTGCCTCTTGTGGTTGGGTGTGTGCCGTACACGTGGCACACCCCCAACCATTAGATAAAGTCGGTCCAACTGTTTTGATACTTTTACTTGACCCTTGGTCATCTGGTGTTTGGGTGCTCTCTCACTTTCTCTAGAACTTTCGGTCTTTCTCTCTGTGTGAGAGTTCTTTCGTGTTTCTTCTTTCTCCAAAAATGTAATACAAAATCTGTGTGATTTTTTGAAAGTCCTTTGAGTAAGGATTGTAAAGTTTGAATGATCTTTGTGATATTGTTGAAAGGAAATCTGTGTGAAATAGAGGCTAGAGAAAGATGAAGAAATCCCTGATTTCTTCGAACACTCTATACTGATTCTTTGTGAAAATTAGTGGAAACTCGAGCATATCTCTTGATTGAGGCTCAACGGGTGATTAGGTCCTTGGACTGAACATCTGGGCTCCATGTTGGAGCAAAACATATCTTGTGTTCGATTTTTGTTTATGCTATTTTGTTCTGAAATAATTTTTGATTCGAGAATAAACCTTTTAAATTCAAGATTATATCAACTCTGAGACCAACAAGTGGTATCAGAGCGGTTCTTAAAAAGATTTTTTTAAACTGTGTGTTGTAAAATATTTTCTCGTTTTGAACTTGCAAGATCTGGAATTGTTCTCATATTTTTTGTAAAGAAAACTTTCTAGAATTTTTTCTGTCTTTCTCGATTTACTTTCGATCGGTAACTAACCAGTCAGATCTGAAAGTTTCTTGAAGATCTAGTTACTAATTTGTTGATCTTGGATAATCTTGTTAAATATGATATAACTCGACACTAACTCGTTTTTTGATTTGTTGTTTATGTACTCTATTCTTGGAAAATCGGTGTTGCTCATACTGAGTTGGGTGAGCTGAGTTGACTCAACCCGAGTTACACTGAGTTCATATTGAGTCACTGCAACTCGGAGAGTTCTTGTGTTTGACTTGGAGTTCTGGTTCAATTCTTTGCTACTTACAAATTAATCTTTTATTCTGAAATTAATATTTCAGATTGTGGTAACCTCTAAACCCAAAATTTATTTCGTTAGTCAGTATATTAAATAATTTCTTGGACCCAGTTATTAAGGTAAGTAATCTGCCTCTACTCACCTTTGTCCAAAATCTCCTACGAGGATCTGGGAATCTAAGGGGGTAGTGGAAACCAGGATTACCACTCCTTAGGTTGTTAAATAGTGCACATTAATCCTATTATTAGTTATTGATCACTGTATTCACAACTTTGTATTATAATACACTATGTGTGTTGCATTGTTATAGTTTTGTAAATAATCTGTCAATATGTCAACTGCTCAGAAATTTGATGTTGAAATTTGGAATGGCACCGAAGACTTTAGTCTCTGGCGCTAGAAAATGAGAGCTCTGTTAGTGCAACAGAGATGTGCTGGTGCACTTGAGCTGCTGAGATTAGTGCCTATAGGAGACTAGAACTAACTGAAATTGCCTGGAGCACTATTTTTCTGCACTTATCTGATAGTGTAATAAGGAAGGTAGGCGAAACTACTACTGCTGATGCATTGTGGACAAAATTAGAAACTTTATACTTAACCAAAACAATGCCAAATAAGTGCTATCTCTTAAAACAGTTCTATAACTTTAGGTTTGATCCCTCTAGCAGTTTAGAAGACAACATTGACAAATATACAATACTAACAAAAGATTTAGCAAACTGTGATGAAGAACTTTCTGATCAACAACAAGTTGTTGGCCTATTAAATTCTCTGAGTGAAAAATATAGGGATGTTAGAAATGCCCTAGAATACGGGAGAGAGGATTTTACTGTTGACATAATAACCACTGCCTTAAGGAATAAAGATCTTGAACTACAATTTGACTTTAATTACACTAAGGGTGGTGAGGGCCTGCATATTAAAGAAAAACCTCCTTGGGGTAAAAAGATAAATCAGTGAAATTTTACCTCCTCTAAAAGGAGAAAATATGTGAACCAAAAATTTAAGGATAAAAGTATGAATCAAGTAAAGAACAACAATCAAGTTAGGAAATGCTATTACTGTGGGAAGACAAGATATCTAATAAAAGACTGTTTTAAGAAAATGTCTAACTCAAAAGAAAAGAATAATGCCAATGGGTCTGCAGCAATTGCTTGCACCCATGACCCCGGTATACAAGGGGTTGTCCTTGTAAATACTACCAGGAGGGATCCAAAAGAATGGGTTCTTGATTCTGGCTGTATCTTCCACATGTGCCCCATTAGAGATTGGTTATCTGAATTTGTTGAACTTGATGGGGGGGAAGATTCAAATGGGAAATGACATAAGTTGTCAAATTAAAGGAATAGGGAAACTGAAATTAATGTTGAGCAACAATTGTATTCTTGAACTGACAAATACTAGATATATTCTTGAACTCAAAAGAAATCTAATCTCTTTGGGAGAATTAGATGATAACTATAACATCATAATCCACAAAGGTTTTTTAAAACTTAACCTTGATAACAGAAATATCATTTCCTCTCCTAAGATAAATGGTATCTGTACCATCTGTGCTGAACCTTTAGTAGGTCACAGTGCTATTGCTTTGAACACTTCCTTAAACAAATCCTTAATCTGGCACAAAAGGCTTGGCCACGTTTCTGAAAAGGGATTAATTTCCTTAAACAAACTTGGATGCCTTGGGAATGATAACATTGAAAAGTTAGATTTTTGTGAAGACTGCATAATTGGAAAACAAACAAAAATGCCTTTCAAATCTGAACTTGACAAATCCACCTCTATCTTAGACTATTTACATGCTGATCTTTGGGGACCAGCCACTGTAAATACTCTAAGTGGATATAGATTCTATCTACTAATAGTAGATGATTTTTCAAGGAAAATATGGACCTTTCTTCTAAGACAAAAATCTGACACTTTTCAAAATTTTAAACATTGGAAATTGATGACTGAAAATCAAATAAATAAGAAAATCAAAGCACTTAGAACAGATAATGGACTTGAGTTCTGTAATTCTAAATTTAATTCTTTCTATAAAGAATTTGGAATCTTAAGACACAGAACTGTGACTTACACTTTTCAGCAAAATGGAGTTATTGAAAGGATGAATAGAACTCTATTGGAAAGAGTTAGGTGTATGCTTCACAGTTCTGGTCTTCCAAAACTGTTTTGGGGAGAAGCCCTAAAAAGTGCAATTTATTTGATAAATAGAAGTCTATCTAGTTCTGTTGATTTCAACATTACTGAAAAATTGTGGTAAGGAAAAATGCCAGATTATAGTAAACTTAAAGTGTTTGGTTGTGCTGCCCATTCACATCAAAATGAAGGAAAATTAGAACCTAGATCCTTAAAAATGTATTTTTCTAGGCTATGGGGAGGAGACTAAGGGTTATAGACTTTGGGTTAAAGAGCAACATGGTCACAAGGTTATATTGAGCAGGAATGTCATCTTCAATGAAAATATATTTCCCTGTAATAGTTCATTAACTCCTAAATCTAGAGAATCTTCACTTGTGAGAGAAAACTTAGTGGAAGATCAAACTGGAATTGATATAGATCAACATGATTTGATTGAGGTGGAGTCTACTCAATCTAGTAATGATAGTAATCATAATGATCCAGAATCTGAGGCTGAATCATTAAACCCATCACTTGCTGATTATCAACTTACAAGGGATAGAGAAAGAAGAAACATAATACCTTCTACTAGATTCAGTAATAATGACTTTGTCACCATGTTTACTGTTTTAGACTCCTTAAACTCTAAACCCGAAAATTTTGAAAAAGCAATAAACAATCTTGACTCTAAGCTTTGGAAGGAAGCTATGAATGAGGAAATGGATTCTTTAATCAAGAATAAAACCTGGGTTCTAGTCAACAAACCTAAAGATAAAAGGGTAGTTGACTGTAAATGGATTTTAAAATAAAACAAGGAGACTCTAAAACAGAAAATAAAAGATCTAAGGTCAGGTTAGTGGCTAAAGGTTTCACCCAAAAAGAAGGAATATATTTTAATGAGATTTTTTCACCAGTTGCTAAATACACCTCAATTAGAATTTTATTGGCCTTGACTACCCACTTTGATTGGGATTGGAACAACTTGATGTTAAAACAACTTTCCTAAATGGTGATCTTGATGAAGTCATATACATGAATCAACCTAAGGGCTATGAAGTAAAGTCCAAAACTGAAAAGGTTTGTTTGCTGAAAAAGTCTCTATATGGGTTGAAACAGGCTCCCAGACAGTGGTACCTAAAGTTTAATTCACATGTTCAGACCATGGGTTTTGAGAAAAGCAGCTATGACTCCTGTTTGTTTCTCAAAGAGTCAGGAGGACCTGAATCTATATATCTGTTACTGTATGCAGATGATATGTTACTTGCCTGTCATGATAAATTTGAAATTGAATCTGTTAAATCAAAGCTAAAATCTGAATTTGAAATGAAAGATTTAGGTCCAACCAAAAGGATTCTTAGTATGGAAATAGAAAGGGACAGATCTAGTTGTACTCTAATTTTAAAACAATCTGCATATATACAGAAAATACTTGAAAAATTTTCTATGTCTGATTACAAATCTGTCTCCTTACCTATTGCAAATCATTTTAAACTTTCTAGCGATCAATCGCCTAAGTCCAATGATGAACTGAAAAGAATGGAAAATATTCCCTATGCTAATGCTGTGGGATCCATTATGTACTAGACCTGACTTAGCTCATGGTATTAGCATCCTAAGTAGGTTTATGGCTAATCCTGGTGAAACTCACTGGTTAGCTATAAAGTGGATGATGAGATACTTGAAAGGCTCAATTGACTTAGGACTAAAGTTTAAAAGAAGTAATGAATGCATAATTTTAAAGGGGTACACTGATTCAAATTTTGCTAGTGATCTAGATAAAAGAAGGTCTACATCCTCTTATATTTTTACTTTGTGTAATACTTGCATTAGTTGGAAATCTCAACTGTAAAAATTAGTTGCATTGTCCTCAACAGAGACTGAGTATATTTCTACATGTGATGCTATGAAAGAGAGCATGTGGTTAAGAGGACTGTTAAATGAAATTGGTTTTGTAAATAAATCTGTTAGTATTCATACTGATAATCAAAGTGCAATTCATTTAAGTAAAAACTCTGTTTATCATGATAGGACAAAGTATGTTGATATAAAATTTCACTTTGTTAGGAATATGGTTGAAAAGGGCTTAATCAGTCTAATTAAAATTCCTACAGAATATAATCCCTCTGACCTTGGAACAAAAGTTTTGACACTTTACAAATTTAAGAACTGTTTGAAAATTCTAAATATAACCTAAATTAAATTAGGTGACATTCAGTAACTCATTTGTTGAGAATAATACTAACTTTTTCAAATTTTTCTTTTTCAGGTACAGTAGAGCTAAATGAAGTCAAGAAATGTTTGAATCCACTAGTTGAAACAAAGAAATAGTTTAGCAAGGTGGAGAATGTTAAAAATGATGGGCTGCCTCACTATTTTCTATTTTGGGCCCTTACTAATTGAAAATAAGAGGAGGTCCAAAATTGCTTAACATATTTTCGGGTTTTGGTTTCATGTTTTATATTGCCTCTTGTGGTTAGGTGTGTGCCGTACACGTGGCACACCCCCAATCATTAGATAAAGTCGGTCTAACTGTTTTGATACTTTTACTTGACCCTTGGTCATCTGGCGTTTGGGTGCTCTCTCACTTTCTCTAGAACTTTCAGTCTTTCTCTTTGTGTGAGAGTTCTTTCGTGTTTCTCCTTTCTCCAAAAATGTAATACAAAATCTATGTGATTTTTTGAAAGTCCTTTGAGTAAGGATTGTAAAGTTTGAGTGCTCTTTGTGATATCGTTGAAAGAAAATCTGTGTGAAATAGAGGCTAGAGAAAGATGAAGAAATCTCTGATTTCTTCGAACATTCTGTACTGATTCTTTGTGAAAATTAGTTGAAACTCGAGTATATCTCTTGATTGAGGCTCAACGGGTGATTAGGTCCTTGGACTGAACATCCGGGCTCCATTTTGGAGCAAAACATATCTTGTGTTTGATTTTTGTTTACGCTAGTTTATTCTGAAATAATTTTTGATTCGAGAATAAACCTTTTAAATTCAAGATTATATCAACTCTGAGACCATTAGATAGGGAGATTGTGAGGATCAAGAGGGATAGAGATGACAGAGAGGCAAGGTTGAAGGAGAAGGAGGAGATTGAGAGGGTAAGAAACATGACAGAGGAAGAGAGGAGGGAGTGGGAGAGGAAGAATCCAAAACCTTCTGGAAAATCCAAGAAACAGTGGATGTTTTTGCAGAAATACTACCATAAGGGTTCTTTCTTCCTGTCAGATCCTGATGATCCTGTTGGAACTGCCAAAGCTGATTATATTTACACTCGTGATTTCTCTGCTCCAACTGGAAATGATAAGATGGACAAGACCGTAATGCCCATAGTCATGCAGGTTAAGTACTTTGGTCGTAGTGGAAGGACAAAATGGACTCATCTTGTCAATGAGGACACAACTGATTGGAATAACCCATAAGCAAGTCTTACTTAATCATTCCATTTGGATTAGGAATTTTCGGAAGTACATAGGCGAAATATATTGTGTTCATAGTAGCAAATGCTATTGAATTTTGGACATCAGATGTGCGTCAGTTGATCGTATTGTTTGCTCTATAAACAACTAAATCTTGTTTTTGAAATCAACAAGAGAAACAGTTCAATTATATATTAAAGATAGATAAGAGCAATTCTAATGTAAGTAATATAGTGAATTCTACTTTTCAAAGTAATACAATGGTTGAATCATACTTGCATGCACTTGCTCCTAGGGCTGGGCAAATTTTCCGAACAAAATTGACTGAACCAAATCCGAACCTAACTGAACCAAACCCGACGGTTCTTGTCAAATTAAATACCCGAACGGGTACGGTTCGGTTCTCGGTTCTAGACCAAGAACCGAAAAATCGAATAAGAACCGAATCTTTCTATTTTTTTTTATATTAAGTAAATTGAATTATTTTAATTTTAATTTTTCTAAACAAATTAACAATTTAACAATTTCTAAATCCAAATTTTTGGCCCAATAATTTGTTTCATTTCTAATTTTTTAATTTTTGGCCCAATTACCCTTTTTATTGTTTCATTTCTTAGCCCAACAAGATCCAATCCACTAAATAACCTTAAACACCTACACTAAAGTGCATAACATTGTCTCGACTCTCGTACTCACTCTTGCAGCCTCGCTAATATTCCAAAACCTATACAATCATCGACCGACACTGTGACCTTCGATCGAAGCTGTGACCTCCGCCGACCGAAACTTTGACTGTAGTGATCATTTGAACAAGGTAGTTTACTAGTATCTAACATTTCAAAATCATTGAATGTATCATTAGTTGTTTTTATATAATGTAGTTATAAATATTAAAAAATTTAATTATAGTACAGAACCGAACGGAATCGAACTGAACCGAACCAAACTGAACCCGAACGTTTCCATAATTATATTTGGACCCGACGGTTCCATTCACTAGATACCCGAAAATACCCGCGCCACCCCTACTTGCTCCTCATTCTCTCTGATATATATATATATATATTTTTTTTTTTTTTTTTTTTTTTTTTTTTTTTTTTTTTTTGAAAGTGGTGGCAGGTGGGGAGTTGGGACTGGAATTGACCATTATGCACGTCCTAAGCATTTGATCATTGTAGATTTGTCGATTGTTAGCTGCACCTACTATAGATAGAGAACTGGTGTTCATCTTTCGCAGAATATTTACTACATGATATTGGATAAAACTTAATGGTGTAATAAACATGGTTTTAGTTTCTTTTCCTCTATATCGTGTCACGAGTGTTTAAACAAACTACTACAGAAGTTTGCTTGGTTAAATACCTTTGTCAGTTTAAGTGGGACGGTTGTTTCTGGAAGTTGTCATTGGCTGTTGCTATCCCAGTTTGAATTACTCAAATAGTTTTGCTTATTTGAGTACCTTTGTCAGTTTTTGTTGGGCCTTCATCACTGAGAGACAGTTGTGATTTGTTTTTAAGATTACATTCTTGATATTGGTCGTATAATCCAAATTTGAATAGTTGGTTATCATACCAACTATCAGCTAATTACTGATTTCTGGCTATGCAGATGGACCTATAACGATTCTCTTCGGGCCAAGTACGCAAAAATGGCTGGAATGAGTGCACCCACAGCCAAACCTGAAGGAAGCAAGAAACTAAAGGATTGGGAGACACGTTGAACTTTATTATAACTTTCAAAGGGTCGAGCTAATGCAGAACCAGACGTTAATAGAAGAACCTAGTTCATTTCCAGTTTAGACTTTTAACGCCTGTTCTATTATATGTTATTGGAGATACTATTTTAGCCTATGTCCTTCCAAGTACTGCATTTCATAGGTATAAAGTATACTTTTCTTACAAGTATATCGTGTATTTTTTGCTTCTTGCGGATGGTTATTGACTTGTGTAAGTTATAGTTTTCACAGAGGATTGGTTTAGGAAAGATGGGTGATTTCAATAGTCCAGATACAACTCTTCAATGAAGCATTTTATAAGGTGGAGGTAGTTTTTATTCAAGTTTATTATTTCTTTTTCATTCACCCTGGCCCTAGTGTGCTATGCTGTTCTCCAAACTGGAACCATCTCTGTGAGGGCCCTATCTGGTTGTGTCACCTTTCCACACCCGGATTTAAATCCTTGTGCTCCACTAAATAATTAGTCGACAAGTCCGGAAGGTATATATTTGACTGTGTTCCAATGCTTGAGCTGAATTTCTGGTATCTATAAGATTTGGTTTATATAATTACATCTATAGGAATGTTTACTCACTTCGAATACAAATGTTGACTCTCAGCTATAGGTTGTTGTAAATTATATAATCTTTCTCGAGCTGATGTATATGCTTTAATCAAACAGAGTCGTTATTGCATCATATTTACACTTTCTTTTTGATTTATATCTTTTAGTAGAATCAAAATGACAAAGAATGATTCATATAGCTGACCCTCAAATTTAGTCAAGTAGATTTATCCCCGTGTGCCAAATATTGTGATGGCTCGAGCCACTTTTGCAGGTTTGAATTGTGTCACTTGGAGTGTGTTCTTGCAGCTGCTGGGAGTTTGGAGTTCGACATCTTGACATTCTTTTCTTTTATATTTCACTTGAAAAACAGCGATGCTAATTTGTACAGCATTTATGTAAATTTACAAGGATAATATCTAAATAAAGGTATTGTCCCATCTTCCGTGAAGGAGCCAAATGAAACTAAAGTTTCATGTTCGGTTTTGACTTGGACATTTCCAAAATGTGGAATCGACGTTGCCACAACGCTCCTTGTAACCTTCCAAGCTAATAATGTGGGTTTGATTCTGATGATTCCGAGATTGGTAACCCCGAACTATCCCTGAGTCTGTGTATCATGATCGACCTCGACCTAATACCCCGAGTTGATCTTGGTGAGTTGGGACTATTTGAGGTCGGGGTTCACCCCCAAGGTCGGGTTTCTTTCCCAATGCTGCCCACCGACTTAATCTCCAAAAGAAAATAGACCCCATCTAAGTCTACTCCTCCCCTGATTAGAACTCTAACAGAATACTTCTAATCACACTCCAACACCTAATCCTAAGGGGGAAAGGACTCTTTCAATAATAGAATACTTCTATAGCTCCCCCACCAACACCTATAAATACTTGGCCAAAGCTCAACACAAAGGTACGTTTTTCATTATCTTCAGTTTATAGCCTCTCGCACTAAATTCCCTATCTGACTTAAGCATCGGAGGGGCGACGAGCACACACTTCGTTGCCTTTGTTGCAGGTAATTGCAGACCGGTCGTATTCATCAAAGTGAAGTTGGACCATCAAGTTCGAGATCTTTCAGGTGACATTTTTTGGTAGCATCATTGGCACCGTCTGTGGGAAGCGCTACCAAAAGCCATGGTGAATACACGATCGGGTCTTTCACCAGCAAGCTCATCCGCTCCAAATCCTCCCCCTGGAGATCACCCTGTCCCTCAAGAGGAATCATCAGAGATGGCGGCACCGCTACCAGCTGTCATTACCACCGGAGCTTTTGAAGAGCTCCGCCAACAAGTTACTACATTGACTCAGTTATTAAGCCAAAGAAACTCACACCCATCACATACACCAACACCGGATGGCGATCTTATGGCAGCCGCTCAAGCTCGAGCTCCACGAAACATCCCTGATAATGGTGTTGGAACCTCCGGTGTACCTCCTATGACTGCAGCATCAAGGGCAGTAACGATAGAATCAGGGGAGCTTGCCAGAATCATCCAAGAAGGTATTGCCGCGGGCCTAGCACAGAAATCAAAGGGGACAACAGGCTTTACCCCTAGCACCCCCTTTACTCCTGAAGTACTGTCCTACCCCCTTCCAGATAGGTTCAAGTACCCCAAGATAAAGGAGTATGATGGAACCACTGACCCTATCAACCACCTCATATATATATACCGATATTATGAACCTACAGGTCGCACCTGACGCTGTAATGTGCAAAGCCTTCCCTCAAACTCTTACAAGCGCAGCTAGAGATTGGTTCTCCACATTAGAGCCAAATTCTATCGCCTCATTCGCAGACTTGGCCAATAAATTCTCTGCTTTCTTCGCAAGCAGCAAGAGAATTAGGAAAACAGCTGCATCACTTATGCAGATGCGCCAGGGACCCAATGAAACATTACGCAATTTCATGACCAGATTCAATAAAGAAAGACTTCAGATTCCCGATCTACATATTACAGCTGCGGTCTCAGCTTTGACATACGCTATAAGATGTGAAGCATTCAAGATGTCTTTGTCGAAAACCCCCCCGAAGTCAGTAATCGACCTCCTAACTCGAGCTGAGAAATACATCAATATGGAAGAAACTCTAACCCCAAGAAAGGATGTCTCACCTTCGCTAAGGCCAGACAATAAGAGACCACGTGAACCCAATCAACGAGACGATAATCCTTGGGTCAAGCAAAAACAAAACCCCCGACAGGAAACTTTTACTCCCCTGAATACATCAAGGTCCAACATCCTGATGGAAATCAAGGAACTCAAAGAGCTTAAGTGGCCTCCCAGAATGTGATCATTACCTGAAAACAGAGACAGAACCAAGTACTGTGACTTCCACCGAGACCACGGACATACCACTGAGGGGTGTTTGGCTCTGAAGCAGCAAATTGAGGCCCTCATCAGGAGGGGTTTTTTGGGCTCTTACACTAGCCATGAAAAACGCCCGAGGAACAAGCAGAATAACATACATGAGGGGCGTAGTAGTGAACCACCAATAGCTGGCACTATTAACGTTATTATCGGAGGAACAGCTTCAGGGGGAGACGCCAACAATGGACGTAAGAAGTACGCCAAACAGCTTCCAGTCTCTCCTGGCACGGATCTTGCTCATACGGAAGATATCACCTTCGGGTCCAAGGATTTGGAAGGAATATCCTTCCCCCATGATGACGCCCTAGTCATATCAGCCATCATAGCTAACTTCGAGATCAAGAGAATTCTTGTGGATAATGGAAATGCAGCTAATGTACTGTCTCATGAAGCTTTAGTTCAGATGGGTATCTCAGTGGAACAACTCAAGCCTGTTAAAACACCCCTACAAGGATTTGGTGGCGGGGTCATCACCCCTGAAGGTATTGTTGAATTACCCATGACTTTAGGATCTGAAGGTCCGCAGGTAACCCATATAGTAACTTTCGAAGTTGTCCGAACTCCGATGGCCTATAACGCCATTCTGGGAAGACAATTGCTAAATAAAATCAGAGCTATTATCTCAACTTTTCACCTGGCGATGAAGTTCCCCACATATAGTGGAGTTGGGGTCGTCCGAGGAAGCCAAACTATGGCTCGCCAGTGTTATGTGACCAGTGTCCGAAAAATAAAGGGTGACGTCATGCAGCTTACAGAGCTCGAGCTCGAGCTTGAAAATCGTAGGAGACTTGCCCTGGTAGAGGAGTTGGTCGAGGTCGAGCTCGTGCCTGGTAGGAAGGTGACAGTAGGGCGTGACCTTGATTCAACCATCATGGCTAAACTCATAAGTTATCTCTCCCAAAACCAAGACGTATTCGCATAGACAGTTGAAGACATGCCCGGAATTGACCCCGAGGTTTTCGTACACAGGCTCAATGTAAACCCAGGAGCCAAACCTATTAAACAAAGGAAAAGACAGTTTGCGCCTGAACGGCGTGGAGTCATACGAGAAGAGATTGCCAAGCTGCTCAATGCACAATTCATCCGAGAAGTACAATATCCTGACTGGCTCACCAATGTAGTTCTCGTAAAAAAGGCCAATGGAAAGTGGCGAGTTTGCATTGACTTCACTGATTTGAACAAAGTATGTCTAAAAGATAGCTATCCCCTACCTCGGATTGACAGTCTCGTTGACAGCACTTCGGGTCACAAATTGTACAGCTTTTTGGACGCATTCTCAGGGTACCACCAAATACCAATGGCCGCAGAAGATCAAGAGAAGACCTCATTCATGGCAGACTCCGCCATCTACTGTTATAAGGCTATGCCATTCGGCTTAAAGAACGCAGGGGCTACATATCAGAGGCTAATCAACAAGGTCTTTGCTGATTTAATTGGGAAAACCATTGAGGCTTACGTAGATGACATGGTGGTCAAAAGTAAACAGGTGGATGATCATATCACCGATCTTGAAGAAGTGTTTTCCACACTACGAAAATACAACATGAAGCTCAACCCAACAAAATGTGCCTTTGGGGTAGCATCAGGAAAGTTTCTAGGTTTCATGATCACAAATAGAGAAATAAAAGCCAACCCTGACAAGATCCAAGCCCTGATATCTATGGAAGCCCCAAAGAGCAAAAAGGACATCCAAAAGCTTACAGGTCGGGTAGCAGCATTGAACAGATTTGTCTCTCGGGCAGCAGATAAATGTTTCCCTTTTTTCAAAGTTCTAAGAGGCCACAAGAGTTTTTGAATGGAATGACGAATGCGATCTAGCCTTCCAACAACTTAAGCAAACTTTAGCTGTACCTCCGGTTCTTGCCAAACCAGAGCCTGGTGATACTTTGTTCCTTTACTTGGCTGTTTCTCAAAATACCGTAAGTGGGGTACTAGTAAAGGAAAAAGGAAAGGTGCAACAACCCATCTACTATGTCAGTAAAGTACTTCTTGACACAGAAACTCGGTATAATCTTGCGAAACAGTTAGCTCTTGCTTTGATAGTAATTGCTAGAAAGTTGCGACAATATTTCCAATCTCACCCTATAATAGTTCTCACCAATCAACCACTTAAGCACATACTTCAGAGACCAGATGTCTCAGGAAGGCTATTAAAATGGGCGATCGAGCTTGGCGAGTTCGACATAGAATTCAAGCCTCGACCTTCCAGAAAGGCCAGAAGTAAACCCGAGCACGACCTCAAAAACCTGGGAGATATTTGTTGACGGTGCATCGAATAGCTCGGGCTCGAGGGCCGGGATAATCATCATGAGCCCGGACAAAACCATTGAAGTTCAATGTGCGCTTAGGTTTGAGTTTGAAGCAACCAACAACGAAGCGAAATATGAAGCTGTGGTCATTGCTCTGGAACTTGCCAGGAATTTGGAATTAGAGCACATCAGAGTCTTCAGTGACTCACAGCTCGTTGTTGGATAGATTGAAGGATCCTTTGAAAGAAAAGATGAAAAGATGAGCTCATACTGTCTAAAAGTACACGACCTTCAAAGGCAGTTCACAAGTTGTGAAATATTGAAAATAGCAAGGGCAGATAACTCCAAAGCTGATGCACTATCTAGACTTGTTTTCATGAGGATAGATGGACTCGACAGAACAGTGCACATCAAGATTGTCACAGAGCCTAGCATAAACATGAAGCCGAGCGTCATGGACATTGACCAGAAGCCCTCCTGGATTGATCCAATAGTTGAGTATATAAGTAATGGAGACCTACCTCCTAACCCTCGAGCCGCAAGAAGTATTCGAGCCAAAGCTGCTAGGTATTGCATGATCAGAGGGGTGCTGTTTCGACAAAGCCTCACGCTCCCCTATCTGAGATGCCTTAAGCCTTCCGAATCTCTCCAAGCCCTGACTGAGGTTCACGAGGGAGTATGCGGAAATCACCAGGGAGCCAGGGCCCTTGCCTACAAATTAATAAGGTATGGATACTACTGGCCAACTATGAAAAAAGATGCAGCTGAATACGTCAAAAGATGCGACAAATGTCAGAGGTTTGGTAATGCTATACATGCCCTTGTAGAAGAGTTGACCTCTATCCATTATTCAGCACCATTTGAACAATGGGGAGTCGACATTCTTGGTCCTTTCCCCATGGCCCGAGGACAATTAAAATTTGCTGTGGTAGCAGTTGAATACTTCACAAAGTGGGTAGAAGCCGAACCCCTAGCAAAAATATCAGAGGCCAAGCTCAGATCATTTATATGGAAGTCTATTGTATGTAGGTTTGGAATACCCAAAGTACTTATAACAGACAATGGAAGGCAGTTCGACAATTCACAATTCAGAAACTTTTGTGTCAATCTCGGTATCGACCATCGACTAACGTCAGTATCGCACCCTCAAAGCAATGACCTCGCTGAGGTGACAAATAGAATCATACTTTAGGACCTTCGCACCAGAATTGGAAATGCAAGAGGTGACTGGCCCGATGAGTTGCCCTCTATATTATGGGCATATAGAACTTCTCATAAGACAGCAACAGGCGAGACTCCCTTCATGTTAGCTTTTGGCTTGGAGGCCACTATCCCCATCGAAATCAGTCTTCCCACTTTAAGGAGGGTTGAACCTGGCATGGAAGACCGAACAACCGAACATCTTGACTTGCTGGAAGAAGTAAGAGAGCAAGCTTCACTAAGAGCTGCTAGTTACCAAAATAAAACGGCAAAGTATTTCAACACCAAAGTCAAGACCCGAGAATTTAAGAGTGGCGATTTGGTTCTAAGAAAAGCAGAGGCTGCTGGACACCCTCCAGGTAAACTTGGACCAGTGTGGGAAGGTTCATTCGAAGTCATACGAAGGATCAAAAGAGGAGCATACAGCCTTAGAGATACTTCAGGAAATCCACTCCCAAGGCCTTAGAACGTGGATAACCTAAAAATATATTATAAGTAGAATAGCAATAGCATCACACAAGGGCTTGCACGCCCGTCTTATTTGCTTTCAAGTAGCTCGGGGCTATGAACCCTTGGGCATTTTTTTTTTCTTTCAAGTAGCTCGGGGCTATGAACCCTAGAGCATTTTTTGCTTTCAAGTAGCTCGGGCCAAGTATCCTTGAGCACCTAATAATATTCAAAGTTTTCTTTTCCTAGCATTACTTAAACCTTGGCATAATGACGTGCTTCGAGAATGCAGCCATTTTAACATTAGTGTAATGACGTGCTATGGGCATGCAACTAATAACCCTAGCATAATAACATGCTGCGGGCATGCAGCCACTTTAACATTAGTGTAATGACGTGCTACGGGCATGCAACTAATAACTTTGGCATAATGACGTGCTTCGGGCATGCAGCCACTTTAACATTAGTGTAATGACGTGCTTTGGGCATGCAACTAAACTTTAGCGTGATGACATACGGGCATATAGCTTGAGGTCACGAACCCCGAACTTCTTCTCATCTAAATTTAGTAATGGATAAGTTCGGGGTCGGGCAAGTTGACATGACAAAAGTCAGACACGACCTAGAACTCATCATCTAAACTGACTTTCAGGCCCTAAAGTTCGACATCGATGACTACATCAAGAATCGAGCTGAGACATGCCTGGTGTTTAAGGTCGAAGTGTTGATCGAATTTAACCCCGTGTCGCAAATCACCCCGAGCTAGAAAAGGCCCTAGTTATTGCAAACTAAAAAGCTCGAACTCATCATCTGGTTCGACCTATGGGTCTAATGACAACATCAAGGATCGAGCTCGTGCATGCTTGACGTTCAACATATGTGCACGAACATTAATCAATCATTAAATCAAAAAAACAAGTGCTCGAACATTGATCAATAAAATAGCAAAAGTATCAGCCCAGTTCGGGCAACATTACAAAAAATTTTTAAAAACCTAATCGATATCTACAACCTTGACTTCATCCCCTTGATCGCCAGCCCTGGCGTCATCTCCATCACCGTCATTATCATCTTCATCATCGTCCTCGACCTCAGAAGCTGAAAGTTCGAGATCTCCTGCGAGCTTGTTCACCGTCTTCAAGTCCTCGACGAGGGACTTCAAGTCCTCAGGCATCTTCGTGCGAAGATAAGAGTGGGCAAGGCGAAGCCCTTAATGGTAAGAGCCCGACCCGTACTGTCCCAGCAGGGTCCCAAACTCGTCGGACTTCTTGAAGTCTTCGACATCTTGAGCTTTAGCCTCCTCACGAGCCTTTGCGAGCTTTTCGCCGAAGCTCCTCTGGGACTGGAAAAGCTCGAGCTTAACTTCCTCGACTTCAGCCTTGGATGTCTCCAGCTCCTCTCGGGACTTCTTGAGGTCAGCCTCAGTAGTTTTGAGAGCTTTTTCCAAGTCACGAGCTCGCTTTTCAGCTCGCTCCTTTTCCTTTAATACCTCGTCCATTTTGATATTGATGCCATTTAAGGTAAGACCTCGAGCCACGCTCAGCGTCTGCACAAAGAAAGAAAGAAAACCCAAAGTCAGTTCGATCAAAGAAGATGAAAGATAAAAAATACAGTTAAGTTTGGTATCTTACCCTTAAGGTCAAAGCCTCCAGTGTCTTGACGCCTTCATTGATGTTGACCTCCTTCTCGAACCTTTCAACAAGGTCCTTCACCAGGACACACTCTGTGTATTCCTCGAGGGCAATATCTGAGATAGGCTCGAAGCCTGAATCTACGACACCATAACAGCCCCAAGCTCGATCTTCATATTTCATCTTCGGACGAGGCGTTAAAGTCGGGCTCCTTAACATCGAGGGTTGACCTCTAGGAGGCACCGAGCTCTCAAGAGGAACCTCAGGAACCCTAACATCGGCGTGCCTGGCCCTCTTCTTTCCCTTTTTTGAGGCCGGGGCTTTGGACATCGGCCCCTTGGCCTTATGGTGGACATTGGCCAACAGTTTAGACGGATCAAAAGACATCTCAAGAT